CTTTACTCAAATGGAATTTTTTCTCTCTTTCTCTCTTTCTCATCTATTCTTTAAAATGTATATATACGTAAAGTGATAAATTCTTACAAGTAATCGATTATCAGTTATTCCTAGAATTTGTTTAATTATCTTTACACTTTTAGATGAAGAAATACCAATCATTTCTAAAGTATCGCTATTATCACTGATAATCTAAAAAATCGAACAAAAAACAATAAGCAGAAACTGTTGCGTTAAATTTGGATAATCAGTCTTTTACAATTAATCACAAAAAAATTGCATTCTAAATATTAACTTTAATATAAAAAGAAATGCTTATTATGAAATGAATTTTTATATTATAAATCACTCTTACAATTGAACAAAATTTATTTTGATTATCACAACGACGAGTAAAATTTTTGTTTCGATCACTTTTTTACGAGAGATTTAATTTTATGAAGTTTTTACTTACACCGACTTCCCCTCCTCCTCCTCCTCCTCCGCCACCCCCGTCAACTAGTTCAACGAACTTCTTTTCGTCCGTTATTTTTTTTTGTTGTTTTCTTTTTTTCCTTTTTTTCCTTCTTTCCTTTTCTTCATCATTCTTTTTTCGTTGGTCGAGTTAATCGATTCCACGGCTCGTTGACTCGAGTTAATTCCGAATGATTGACAACCGGCATAGTGATCTCATCGACCGTAACTCTTTATTTATAAAAGCTTTTTTTTAAATCTATATTATTTAAGAATTCATTTATTCTTTTTTCAGGAAAAAAAATTGGAAACTAATTAACCTTTTTCTAATTACAGAAAGATCAAACGAATATTTATGCACATATATCAATATTTAAACGATTCATTCGTATCGACACCCTTTCTTAGTATTTCTTTCAACAATCCTCCTCCTCCTCTTCCTCCTCCTCCTCTTCCGATTCATTGTTAACCTTATCTTTATTCGAAATTTTCTTTTCGGGCATCTTTTTTATCTACGAATACCTTGACTCTTTATCTTTCACGTCTTATATACCTCCTGTGGCATACTCTTCTCGTAATACCTATTCTTCCGGTGTGGCGCTTAATTAACGGCACGCATTCAATGAAATTTCCAGTACCGTCGTCCTTTTTTTCTCTTTTTTTCGGCCCGCGCGACCTGATCTTTTGAATTTTGTCTTGAGAGTTTAGTAAAAGAAAAAGGGGTATATATAATAGAAAGAGAATAACGGTAAGTAGAGAAAGTGAGATAGATAGATATAGAAAGAAGAGAAGGAAGAGAAGGTACCTACTCGTAAGGATTAATTTAATATGTTGGAAGATGGTGCAGGGCTGCTTTTCTCTCTCGTCATCCTTTACTTTCCCTACAGTTCTTCGAACACTTTTATTTACTTCTTCCATTCACAAAGATAGTCTCTCTCTCTCTTTCTCTCTCACACAATATTACGAATAAACTTGACTACTATGAACGACGATGGAATATTTAATAAGACGACCAAATTTAATGAGAAAGAGAGAGAGAGAGGCCAGACGAAATAAAAGGGAACTATAAAATGATTATTATAGTAAAGGGATGGAACCATTAAGGAACTTAATAATTATTTAAAGAATCTTTGTTCAATAGAGAAAAGTCTTTACATTCTTTTGTTCATATTCGCATTCACAATCCATTATCAAATCCTGAATTTAAGTTGTTCTAACCCTTGTCAGACCCTCCTCTCCTTTGTATATAATAATCTACTTATTTCTATTTATATACGTGTCAATTGTTTCATAATATTTTTTATAATATCGTATAGTTTTTATTCTGTGAAGTTATTAATTATCGTGCCACCAAAAAATTGCCCATGTTGCGTACCTTAAATACGAATTTTCTTTTGATATAATTAATATTATCATTTTATATACTAATAAAACGGAGAAAATGTATAAAAATCTTACGACTTAAAATATTTTAGGCTATATTTTTTATATAGTATAAATTTGTATATGATTATTACGATAAATATTATAGCATCTTTTGTAAATTTTAATTTCTTTATAAAAACAAAATTATATATATAATTATGTACGTATTTAGATAAAAATAATCAAATCACTTAATAAAACAAAAAATCTTCCGTATCATACACGTTATCACAATATTAATATTCTTAACAATAAATTGAATAGAAAAATTTCCAAATTATTCTTTATTATCTAAACACTTTGCGTAATATTTTCAATAACGTTCAAAGAAATAAAGAAGTGGAGGGTAGACGTTTTGCTACTAAAACTCTTTCACGCCGTGTTTGAAGAGAATTCATATGCAAAGTGGCATTTTCTTTCGCGTTTTTCCTTCGAAGTGCTTTCGCGAACATTGCGAATGCAAAAAAGAGTCGAGTAGAAAAAAAAAACTGGGAACAATAGAAGACGAACGAACTTGAGAATCCCGTCGAATTCTTTCCTCACTATGAAAAGGTGTTCTTTTGCTAATCTTAATTAACGCCCAATGCTTTTTCAAAAGTACGTTTTCTTCTATATATTCCATGCATTTCTCCGTAATATTTTTCTCGTACGAGACGTTTTCTTGTTGACTTTGTCTATCTCTCTCTCTCTCTCTCTTCACGTACTTTCTTTTTTCTCTTTCCATTCTTTTCTACCTGTGTCTGCTTGTTTTTCTTTCTTTATCTTTATACAACCATCCCTAACCCTCGAGCTCGAGTTTTTGAACTTCCGAGTACTCGCAAAGAAAGATGGAGGTAAACTATCTGAGGGTAATAGTAGTCAGTGGGTGAAAAGGTACCGTTTCTGTTTCCATTTCCTCTACTACAGACTTTACGATCAGGCACCGTGACGAAATAAATCGTCGATTTGTTAGGTGTAACTTGTATACCTATCAATTGCCTTTTTCTTTTTTTTTTTTTTCCGAAACCTCGATTCTGTTCAATTTTCTAATCTAACTTTTATCCCGAGTTAAATTGTGTCTCTCTTATCTTAAGGTAATGTACAATTTGTTAGATTCATCTTCCATATCCATTCAATCGTCGATATCGTTTTATCATTGTCTTGATTGTTAACTTTTTTTGGGGGGGTAGGGAAAAAGGAGAAGGGGAATCTTTATGTCACATTCAATCGATTATAAAACTTTCTCATCGTTTCATTCATATTCTCAGTTGAAGTTAAATACTGTAATGATAACTTTATTTTTCCTGACTTTGTTCTTGTTTTTTTTTTCTTTTTCTTTTTTTTTTTTTCTTTAGTAATTACATTTATTATAATCGAATTGACTCGCATTAAATGGAACGAGAAGCTTTAATAGCTTTTAAAAAGTATTACCTTGTGTATATATATATATATATAATATCGTTGTATATAGAAAAAGAGAGGCAGACGGTCCCGTGGAAACTCGATTAGAGAATTTTTTCTTTAATTTGTGACCGGAGGCGTCCTGCCCCAGAGACAAAGTACTTTTAAGAAGAAACCGATCAGAGAAACTTTAGTATCACGTTAAAGGAGACGAATAAGTTGAACTGTGCAAAGTTCTCTTTTTTTTTTCTTCCTTTTTTTCTTTATTTCTTTCGAAGTTCATCGTTCAATCTTTTACTTTCGAACTTAACTGAGAATTTGGCAAAGGATTTGGAAGGATAATTCGCTAGAGATTGGGATGATTTAATTTGTCTGTCATCATCGATAACTTTCAGTTGAAAATCTCAACTATCATCGGTCGATTTTTATTTTGTTAACGAAATTCTATTCAAACATATATATACACGATCCAAATATATATATATATATATAAATTTATAGAAAATTTACAAAAACAAATTATATTTTCGTATCAATATTTACGTACAATTGTCTCAATATCGAACGATTTAAAATTCGTTAATATTTCTGTAGAAAAAAAAAAGGGATCAAACGAAATTATATTAACGAATCGTTTGTTCGATATTTGTCCATTTATTTAGCCAAACAATATTGTCGAATTTTATCGAATAATAAAATACACATCGTTAATAAATGATCGAGAAATAAATGTTTCAAATTGAATATATATCGTATGAAAAAAAATGTTTATCGTATAACGTGAACGGGTACGACGGGCACGTAAGGTTTTATGGTCCCCTAAATTCAACGATCCACGCGACTCTATCAATCTTATCCGACCATATTCGTTCAAATCAAAACGACTCGAAGCTGCTGCTGGACTTTTTGACGAGGGAAGGAGAAATGGGGGTGTTGGTTGGGTGGTAGCAAAACGGCGGCGTACGGTCAACAGTTTTTCTTCGAAGAAGATTAAAAGCGTGAACGGTTCGAATGGACCGTTCGAACATTTTTTCGCATCTCGCGTACGTGATTAATTGGTACTCATCTATCTTCATTCTATTGTCGTTAGTGCCGTGGTTTTTCTCTCTTGTTTCACCCCCCCACCCCCACCCTCACCCAATTTTTTCTTTATCAAAGAAAAATATAAAAGAAAAAAAAAAACCGAGAGAGTATGAAAGGAAAAGTGGGTGTGGTTATTGGGTCGCAACAATACCGGATCGAGTCGAGTGAAAGCCACAACGTTAAACATTTCAGAACTTTCAAACTGAATTTAGAAAAAAAAAAAAATAAAAACAAAAAAGAAGTTTCAAAATTCCCCCCGTTAAAGTTGTTAACAAAAAAGAAAAGTAATGAAAAATTTTCTACTGCGATAGTCATCTTGTTTTCTAGAATGTTGTTCAAGAATACTCTTGGGAAAGGGAAAAGGTGTACACCAAGTAAATTTTAAAAGTTATTATATAAAAGTTATATGGTAAATAAAAAATTAAATTGTTGATCTCACATTTTTTCTTAACTTTTCAACTCTGTAGGAAAAAAATTTTTGTAATTTACTCGTAATTACTCGTTTTTCCGGAAACTATTGTTTTTATATAATGTCAGTACGATAACTCTGTTAATTTTTAATATTTTTTAACTATTTTTGTTTTTTAAATCTCGATAATTATTTTCATTTTCAACATTCATTTTCTAATTTGTGTCTTTTTGGGATTTTTTTAATTTAGAGACTGTCAAAGATGACGAGACTCGGAGGGATGCTGATTATTGTGGAAGCTATGTTGATGACCACACTTTTTATCAGTGCAACGGCTGAACTTTATACGGCTTTGGCGGACATGGAAGAACTTCTAGAAACCGAATCAGTACTCATTGACACTCTTAATGGATATATTAAAGCTCAGGAACAACGATTGGCTACTCTTAGAAAGTAAGTTATACTTATATTATTTTGTTTTACTTAATTCAATAGTTCCTAAACTTATTAGTTAATTTTCGGTGCTCTTGTGGTACCTAGATTTTTCCAAAGCGTCTTATGTCAAATTCTAAAAAGTATACTTTACTAAAGTACATAATTTACATACATAAGGGTAAGTGAAAATTTGACAATGTTCGAGCAAAATAATTGACATTAAAAATGTTTAAATACAATCTACAAAATATTAAGTCAACTACGAACTCCTAATCAATACTCTCGTAGAATTAAATATCCTTTTTTCTTTTAAATTTCTGTACGTTTGACGTAACAAGTTTCTTTTCTTAAATGAAAATGAGTTCGTTGAAAATTTCTGCTTTAATAAAAATTAAATTCTAAATTTAAAAAGACCTAATAATAAAAAAAATAATTATATAACATAACAGTAATATTAAGGTTCACAAAAGATAATAACAATTACGATTATATTAATAACGATAGGAATAATAATGGATGGTGTCTCTATAAGGGTAGATGGAAATGTAATATTAACAATCTTCAATCTAAATATTTGATAACTAAATATTGATATTTTTAAAACGTTAGATCGTACAATCTTTACTTTTTTGTTTTATACCTGTATGTGTTGCATACATTTGTAATATTATTCTCAAGCTAACGTATATACGCAAGATCGAGAAGTCGTTGTTCCTAGTTTTCATCGTGGAAAGTAAAGAGAGAGAATGTGTGTGTGTGTGTGAGAAAGACAAAGAAAGATATATACACGTGCCCTTTGAACGTAAAGTTTGAACTTTGATAACTATACTACGGCAGCCTTTAGTTTATTTCTCGCGTACATTTTGTAAGATAAAACACGGCTCTTTTTTTTTAAGTTCAAAAGATCGATACAAAATATTATTTAAAAGGAACCAAATAAAGATTTTATATATACTTTAAGAAAAATAATATATTTCAGCTTTATTTTTTTTCTTTTCTATGCATAAACAAAATTCTTCATTTTATTTGAATCTTTTTTGTATTATTTATGCAAATACAAAAGTAATCAAAATGCACAATATGATACTCTGTATACAATCAATAATTCGAAAACTTTGTATATTGATATGTGTACCTTATAGTGAATTTGTAAATTGTAATTGAGGACGTTTTTAAAAATCAAGACTACATTTTTTTATGTAAGATAAATTTATGAGAAATTTAATGAAAACGTGAAGTGTGATTTAAGAAACTGATGTGAGTTAAAAAAATCTGTAGAATCCGAGAAAGTGTGGACGATGGGTCCTTATCTTTGAAAAAGGGTGAATATTTAGGTGTTACAGTATTACAATTATGTATTCAAGGGTTATAGTAATTAAGATAATAATAATAACAATATTACAATACTAGTGATAATAATAATTATAACAGTAGATATAATAGTGATCATAAAAACAACTTATAGTCGCAGATAAACGGATCCTATTATTAAAAGGGGATGTTTTGGTAAAACAGTTTTACGATTATATTGTACAAGGTAACTATACAAAATAACTATACCCCTTTGAGTGGTTTAACACTCTTTATCTATCGCCATTTTTGATCTAACTCAAAATGAAATTCGATTGCTGAATATTAGAAATTACATTACCTTAACTACGTAATTGACAATGAATATAAGAAAAAAAATATATGATTATTTTCTACGAAGCGGACCCAACCTAGGGGGATGATATTTTCGAAGGGTAGAAATTTTCTCGAAGATTCCCGTTATCGAGAGGCGTTGGTAGAATCACAATCTTAACGTTAATCATCCCTTTATCTTTATTCTACGTTTTTTTTTTTCTTTCCTTTTTTTTCGTCCTCTTTTGGTGATCTCTGAACGGTCAGAGATATTGGTATTGAAACGGGCAACGTGCCAAATCACACCCAAGGGAAGGTAAAAGGTATAGAAAAAGAACGGGATGAAATGAAGCATAAAAGAAAGAGAAAGAGAAAGAGAAAGAGAAAATGACGAGAATGTCATACTTTCTCTTCTCGACCTTGTCGCAAAGTAAGCACAATGTGAATGGTACGACTGGCGAAGTGCAACTACTACCTTGTGACAGGGTGGAAACTCTTCTCAACGACTTCCCATCCCCTTTCCACCCGATCACTTCCCACCCTACTTTCTACTCTGTCTGTTTATTTTATATTTTCAATATGTTCTTCATTGTCTTCTTCTTCTTCTTCTTCTTCTTCTATTTTTTATTTTCATTTCGCGACCTGTCGAACGATTCAAAAAATCCGAAAACGAACGGTGACCATTGTTAATCGAAAAAAATATAAATATAATTTAACGCGTTGATACAAAAAAATAAATTTTAAATTGAAAATATTTGATTTAATTTTTATCGAAAGTAATTCGGATAAAAATAATATACTGTATTACTTCAAAACGTAACATGATGTATATTAATATTCGTGTATATAAAGAAGATATAGAAAAATAAAATTAAAAAAAAAAAAAAAAAAAATAGGGAAATTTCGCATCAGGCAGAGAGTAGTTTCTTCTCCAATATGTTGCCAATGCTATCTAAAGTTTCATTTTTTTTTTTCCTATCTAACGCGTATCGATGTGCCACGAGAGACACTTTTGCACGAAACGAGATATATACATATATATATATAAAAGAGAGAAAGAGGTAGACGGACAGACGGACAGTGAAAGATAGACGAAACTCCGATTTTCTCGCAATATTTTCGGTCCCTTCGAAAGATTTTTCTCATATTAGCATATAGATGGAAATTGAAAAGTCGTTTATGGAAAAACGAACCAGCGAAGCGGCTAAAAAAAAAGTTTTCACGCGCGCGCGCGCGCACGCACGAGAGAGACAGAGACAGAGAGAGAAAGAGAGATAGATAGATAGTTAGTTTGAGTTTTTCGTATAAGAGTTTTTAACTCTCGCAGGTACAATTTCTCTTGGCGAACGAGTGAGCTTCGAACAAGAGAAGCTTTTACGCGGTTTCACGGTCAATCCTCCCTTTTGCATTCGATCCCTTCCCTTCCCTTCCCCTACTCCCCTCCCCACCCACCGATTTTGCCACCCTTCCTTCCACTCACGACGGCTATTCAAAGTTCGCTGATCGTTGAACGTGCATGGTGACCACAAGATTGCGTGCCGATAGATTTGTTCGGGTTTCTACCTTTGTTACTATTCATCGAACGACGATCCTTGAATAAATGCTACCTTATTACTCTGATCGTCGTGGTTACTGGGGATTTCGCACCTGTAAATGACGTTACGTGCGACGAATGTCGTTACATGTGTGTCGAATGGAAACGACTCTTTACGATATAATATAACTTAACGACTATAAGATTATTTTGAAAGTTGAAAATGGTTTCATCTCTGTTAGACGGATATATTTCGACATTCGGTGTGATATGAATGTTTATTAAGTTTAGATTATTTCTTTTTTTGTTTTTCTTATTTTTTTTTAGGAGAGGTAATAAATTGTTTTTTTAAATAAATGTGTATCGTAATTTATAAATATACTTCCTCGGTTTTTTTTTTTTTTTTTTTGGAAATTATATCAAACGCAAATTTTCGTAATTCTATTATAAGATGCAGTGGAAATTCGTTTAATAAAAATATTTTATAATTTGTAAACACGATTTTTATCCCACATTGTTAATTTAATAACACGTAAAATGTTGCAATATTTATGACATTTGTATGTATATGCGTTTGTATGAATTTTAATGAAGATAATTCTTTCAAAAGAAAGTATTTATATTCACCTATTTTACGTGATATTGATGCAAAGTTGAATTTACTTAACATATTTCTAAGCATTAACTGTTAATTATTCTTTAGTAAATTGTGTTCTAACAAAAAAAATTATTTTTTATAAAAAGATTCATAAAAATAAGTTACTTTCATTTGCAATATTTTTTCTTGTGCATTTGTGTAAGGATTTTGTAAAAATTACATGGAAGCTATTCTTACGTTGTGCATTGTTACGTATTTCCTGCAATGTTTTGTTACGAACTCTCTATAGCATTCTTCGACTTATTCTTCAAAAATATAATTAGATTCGAATTCGTTTATATGATGTATAAATTTTCAGACAGAATATTTAAACATTCAGTAAAGAGTCGACAATCAGAAAAATATTGACTAGAATACTAATTTATTTTGTAAATTAAATGTTTTTGCGAATAACTGTTACCCAATTATTTGGTTCACATTAGTTTATGCGTACATTCATGATTGCAACTATGTTTTAGTCTTATATAATATATAAAAAAAAGTTACCTTAAAAATTAAATAAAAGGATAAAGCTCAAAGTATCGAAATTTTTTATTTCTTTTCCATGTTTTTTATTTTCAAAAATTAATAATCACGTAACTAATACTATAATTGAAATATATTCAATAGTTGATCGTCTATAGAATAACATGTAAAAATTTAAACGCAGTCAGTTTCGTAGTCTCATAATCTTTGAAGTTTATATTATCCAAGTTTGAATAAAAAAATGTTAAAATGAAGGATAGTACACATTTTCGGACACAAAAATGTTTGGTCAAACGTCGATACGAACACTTTGAAAATATGTTGTCGATACTTGATGTATGATCGAATATTTTACAGGTAGTATCTACGTGCATACGTACATACAGAGATAAACCATAATATGTACGTGGTACATGGAAATTCTAGCCATATGGGGGATGGTTTCCACGTGACTAAATTATAATTGTTGAACTTCAACTAACCTCAGAGCAAATTAGAATTATCTTTCTCCTTTTTTGCCTCTTAATCTCATTTTAGGTCTGTAGGTTAAAAAAAAAAAAAAAGAAACGTACAAAATTTCATGTTACCGGGAATGAATATTTTTTATACAGTTGCGCTTTCCTATATTATTGTCTTTTTACTTTCCTTACCTTTCTCTCTATTTCTTTGTCTATTTTTACTTTAGCTTTCATTTGCATGAATTCGTGTAATCACAGTCTCGAAATCAAGAAAAAGTTC